AAGCCTATAGCAGCATCACTATAGAGATAGAGTGAAGCAGAATGATGAAAAAGGGGTCCCTATGTCCTCCAGCAGTCTAAGCCTATAGCAGCATCACTATAGAGATAGAATGAAGCAGAATGATGAAAAAGGGGTCCCTATGTCCTCCAGCAGTCTAAGCCTATAGCAGCAGAACTATAGAGATAGATCAGGATAACAATAATTCCTCCAATCGTCAAAGAAAAAGGCTGAGAATTGAAATAAAGTTCTGGTTGCCAGAAATTGGATTAAAAAAATCAATTGATCCGATTTTATTTGAATTCAGGGGAGAATTTCCTCCCAATAAACTCTGTTTTTTTTCTCCATTTCAAACATAACAGGCAAGTGTTCTATCTGCTGGCCTTCTGATGTTAATGGAACCAGTTAGCTTTGGTTTGAGCAGCAGAAAATGACTGAGAGTTGAAAGAATCAACGAGAAGAAGAGGAAGAAGTTAGATCAGAATGGGAGATTCCCTTACAAGATGGTGGAAGTTCAGGTAGAAAGGGCTTTCACACGCGCAGAGAGGCTGTCAGAACCCGATCCGTCCTGGAATCACGATCCGTCCCGGAATCACGATCCGTCCCGGAATCATGATCCGTCCCAGAATCACGATCCGGCCTGCACATGCGCACAAAGATATACATCCGGGTTTCCATAAATAATGTAATTATGATACTAAAATCATTTACTTCTATCCTTAACTCACTAATAAACATCTTTAAAAAATGTTTTATGACTTTTGTGAGACAATTTTGATGCTTTTTACATTTTCTCGGTTAAACAGCTTCTCTGACGTCATCATGGGACATCAGAGCAGTAAATCTGATTAAAGCATCTTTATCTGCATTCTAGTTGTTTCTTTCTATAGATTAACTATATAGCATAATGTTAACATGAGAGGAAAACATTAAACTCAAAAAGAGTAGATTTATGTTTAAATCTAAAGCTGATAAAGTTAGCGCCTGGAAGTAGCGTAGCATCGCATTTCCTGTACAGATCAGGAACAGAGGATAAAACAGAAAGGATTTTAATTCATTTATTTTCTCAGGAAATAAATTATTAACCTTTAACACATTATAGTTTAGTACGTTCACTGTTTTTGGGGAGGGAAAACATCATTTAGGTCTTTTTAACAAAATAAAATCGAGGGCGACCTGGATGGATATCTGGAAATGAGCCGATGGCGCCGGATGGATCGGGTAGAGACAGAGCCTCTGTTCTGAAGAACCGAGAAGATCTGGTTGATATAATCAGAACCCAGCAGGGGGGTGAGGTCACTGCAGCCACAGCCGCACAACCTGGCAGACAGCTGCGGCCCCCGCCGGCCCTGATGCAGGCGATGAATATTTGGAGCTCAGTGGACAAAGACGGAGAGAATTCTGTTCAGATGTCCCCTGGAGGACGCTCTGTCTTTATCTTTGACTCCATTTTATTTCATTCTTTCATGTTTCATATTAAATGGTTTGCTGCTGTCTGTTTGGACCTTTCTGAACATGTGCAGCAAATGGACTGATCCAATATGGTGGACACTGAGGGGGGCATAAATGGACTGATCCAATATGGTGGACACTGAAGGGGGGGGCTGAGACACACTTTATTATCAGCGTTCTGATGACATTTTAGAGAAAAACATAATTAATGTGCAGAAATAAGGAATAGTTGGATTAACAATTCATGGAAACAGAGTTTTATGGGGCCCCCAGGAACTTGGGGCCCCCAGCAGCTGCCCAGTATTGCCTGATGGTAAATCTGCTTCATCAGATGCTTTAAATCTCATTTTTTTTTAGATAAAGTTTCTGTTTTTCATTAAGAAAAC